GAAGGATGGAAAACTTCCTAATATGTTTTATGAAGACGATAAAACTTGAAAATCAAAACATAATAGAATACCCAAAAAATACCCGGCTGGGTGCGGTGGCTCATGCCTGTAATCCCAGCATTGTGGGAGGCCGAGGTCAGGAGTTTGAGACCAGCCTGGCCAATATGGTGAAACCCTGTCTCTACTAAAAATACAAAAATTAGCTGGGAGTGGTGGCATGCATGTGTAGTCCCAGCTACTCGGGAGGCTGAGGCAGAAGAATTGTTTGAACCCAGGAGGCAGAGGTTGAAGTAAGCCGAGATCGTGCCATTGCACTACAGCCTGGGCGACAAAGCGAGACTCCATCAAAAAAAACAAAAAACAAAAAACAAAAACCTTACGTGACTTATATATATACAAAAGTTCTAAATAAAATATCGGCAAGCAGTACTTGGCAATTCGGCAATAATTCAAAAGAATAACACACTGTAACCAATCAAAGCTTAATTCAAGGAATACAAGAGTGAAATGTATTGTGATAAAGTATATTTACCTAAAACCAACAGCAAACATCTTTCTACCAGGTGAAACAATAAAACTATTTCAAATAAAATCAGAAACCAAACGGGCATGTCTGCTATTGCTATTATTATTCAACATTGTCATGGCAGGTCTGACAAATAAAGTCATTGAAAAAAAGATACACCATTTTTACTAATTGCATAACTATATTTTTAAAAACCCAATAGACTATAGCTTTTTAAAAACTGATAGAATTAATAAGAATATTTGATAAGGTAATACCATGATATATAATTAATATACAAAAGTCATTAGATATTCCATATTTAAGCATGAACAACTAGAAACATAAATGGGAAAGAAATCCATACAATAGTGAAAAGTCATTAAGATACTTAGAAATAAACTCAGCAAGAAAAGTGCAAAAATCTATATAAAGAAAACCATAAAATCATATTGAAGGATAAATTTTAAAATCTAAGCAAATGGAACAACATCTGTGTGTTCTTAAATGGAAAGATTTAATATCATAAAAATGTCACTTCTCTTTTTTTTTTTTTTTATTATTTGAGACAGGCTACTCCCGTTGCCCAGACTGGAGTGTGATGGCGCAATCTCAGCTCACTGCAACCTCTGCCTCCCAGACTCAAGCGACTCTCCTGCCTCAGCCTCCCAAGTAGCTGGGACGATAGGCGTGTACCACCAACCCCGGCTAATTTTTGTATTGTTTGTAGAGACAGGATCTCACTATGTTGGCCAGGCTGGTCTTGAACTCCTGGCCTCAAGTGATCTGCCCGCCTCATCCTCCCAAAGTGCTGGGATTACAGGCATAAGCCACTGCACCTGGCCAAAATGTCACTTGTCTTAATTTCACAAGAATGCCCAATTAAAAAGCAAATACAATAATGGGATCCTAAAACATAAAATGGACATTAGGCAACAATTGAAATCTAAATAAAATAGGGATTTAGTTAATACTAATGTATCCATATTGGTCCATTAATTGTTAACATATGTATCATATTAATGTAAAATGTTAATAGTAGGAAAACTATGTGGGGAGTATATGGAAACTGTCTGTACTATCTTCACAGTTTTTCTGTAAATATAAAACTGTTCTGAAAAATAAAGTTTATTTTTGTAATCCCAGCACTTTGGGACCCCGAGGCAGGAAGGTCATTTGAAGCCAAGAGTCCTAGAGCAGCCTGAGCAACATAGTGAGACACTATCTGTACAAAAAATATATACTTTTAAATATATAAATTAGCCAGCATGTGCACTCAGGAGGTTAAGGTGGGAAAATCACTTGAGCCCAGGAGGTCAAGGCTGCAGAGAGTCTAGATCAGACCACTGCACTCCAGCCTGGGAGACAGAACAAGACCCTTGTCTCAAAAAGTAAATAAATACATAAAGTTTACCTCAAAAGCATATGTGTGAGACAATCACGTAAGTTTTTTTTAATAAACAGAATAGAATTCCAGTTAAATAAGTAAAAGTATCTTAAAGTTTAGAGAGAAAACAAATGCCCAAGAAAGCAAGTAAAAGAATCAAAAAGAACAGTGAGAGGAAATATACTGTAGAGATAGTATAATTAAATCAATACGGTATACTGATGTAGGAACAGAGAAATAGATCAGGGAACAGAGTAGAGAATTCAGAAATAAAACCTAGTTTATATGAGATTTTAACATACAACAAAAATGTATTTCAGTGCAATGGGGGAAAGAGTGATTATTTAATAAGAGGTGCTGGGACAACTGGCTATTCATCTGGTAGAAAATAGTTGGCCCAATATCTCATCTTATAAATAAAAAACAAATTCCAGATGGAGTAAATGCTTACACGTAATAAATATAGCATCCAGTTAAAGAAAACCTGGGAGACAATACTTACAATCTGTTTCTTAACCAGAGAGAAAAAATAGCCATATTTGAGTTAATAAAAGTGAAAAACAATTGATGTTGCAAAGCTATCACAGATGAAACTATAGCCAAATTATAGACTTGGGAAAATACCTGCAAAATGATAACAGATAATGGGTTAGTAACCATGACCAATATACAAAGAGCTTTTAAAAATGGGCAAGAGACAAGCAACTTGATAGAAAAATGGGTAAAGGATGTGAAAAGGGAGTTCATGAGAACAAATCCACAGACATAAGCATAAAGAGGCTCCAGCGAACTAGTCATTAGAGAAATGCAAATTACAGCAAAAAATAATCACCACAACCAATCAGATAAAAGAAAAATTAGAGAGCACAATAACAATTGCTGACAGGATGAGGAGGAAAACAATGTACATTGTTTACAGCTGTTTTGTAAAGCAGTCTGACAAATATGTTTACATTAAAAATACACAGACACTTCAACCAGCAAATCACACTCCTGGGAATCTATACAATAAAAATAAAATCGCCAATAAAATGTTTATTGCAGCATTGCTCTTATTGCAAAACACAAGTAAGAAAAAAATAAATTTCCAGCAATAAAGTAATAATAAATCTATATATTGTGGAATATTAAGCAGCCAATAAAAAGAATGAATTAGAGATTACCGTTTGACTTGAAAGGATTTTCCTGGGTGTATCTTTGAGTGATAAAGTAAGATGCAGAGCAGGGAATACACCATGATCCCATTTTTAAAAAGCAAATATTGAACAAAACCCACAAATGTGTGTGTGTGCACACATGTGTATGTGAGAGACAGAATGTGAACATGGAGACAAGCAGAAGAATACACACTAGCTTGCTGACACGAGTTACTTAAGAAGGGTGGTGGAGAATGCAGGGGTTGAAAAGAAAACGTGAGCACAATGTACGAAGCTATTTCATTTATGTTAAGCAAATTAATCAATGACCCTCTATAATGTGGATTAGGAATATAACATGATTGGTATGAGCTTCTATCTTCCACGTAGTCCCCAGTTTCTAAAAACTATGTTATTATTTTTTTCTAGGCTCCCTCCCGTCATGGGACATAGCCTCTACTTTAAAACTTCATCACAATCATTTGGCATATTCTCTTCCATTGAACTGTCAGTTCTGTACAACAGAAGTCCCAAAATTTCTTGTACATTTTGTGACGATTCTACTTAAAAATACTGTTTTTCATTAACAGTCACCCCACAGTTTATCAAACTGAATTTTTGGACCCCACTTTTCAATTTGAGGTGCAGTTTTACACACAAATGCAAGTATGTACCTAAACAATAAAAAATTAGAAAAATAAGAAGTTGATTAATTATATATTTACTGTTTACTGAAATGTCCAGAAAATGAAAATACAAACTATGGGAAAATATGCATAAGGTATTCCATTTCAGTAAAAATCAGCAAAACCTTAGTTATAAATGCATACTTAACTATTTTTAAGTGAAAGAGAAAGCTGTGGAAAGTATTCCTTGTCACAGGTTAATAAAGGGAGGGAATTGAAAAGTACACATTACAAGTTTTACCTTTATACATCTGGGTGTTATGTTACTTCACTTACTATAATAAGCAAAAAACTATTGCTTTGGAAATCTAAAAATATTAAGTAATGAAAACAAAGATAAATTACAAACAATAAAATAAATTGAGTGTTACTTAGTACCTACCTCATAAGATCTGTTGTAAAGATTAAGTGAGGTAATTCACGTCAGGTGCTTAGCATATTGCCTAACATGTAAATGTTCAATAAATGTTAGCTATTTTTTAATTTTTTTAAAAAAAGACTACAGAGAGCAGTGGAAATTATGAAGCTGAAAACACAAGGCTTTTGAAAATGACATCGTGTACACAAGGCATTTCCCCCCATATTCCTGAATCTGGCCTCTTTTGGACTTCCAGGATTCATAGTTTGGTAACCATCCAGCTCATTAAACACATTCTCATTGGCAGGAAAAATAAAATTACAATTAGATAAATAAGGCGCTTAACAATAAAAAGGAGATGGCAATCTTTTGCCTGGAACGCTACCCTAAGAACTTCACGAACCATCCAAAGGCACTATGCATCTGTCACAACACTTCAAATGAGAACTACCTGGGCCCTGGACATCTCCATAACACTGGAGGAGTTGCAACAGGACATACAGATTGGAGAGTGAAGCTACAACTCTTCTCCGGGCCAGTCCAAGTTGGAAGTCCATTCCTAAACACAGAAATGCTACTCCCAACTCTGAGAATTTCTTCACAGGCCTGCCTACAAACATATTAGTTTGATTATAAGTCGACAAACAAAATCTGGTCCATCAATACTATTCTTACTGTCCAATGAAACATTAAAATAGCCTCATAAGTTCAGGCATGGTGGCTCACACCTGTAGTCCCAGCTACTTGGGAGGCTGAGTTGGGGGGATCTGAGCCTGGAAGGCAGAGGTTGTACTGGGCAGAGGTTGTAGTGAGCCGAGATCATGCCACTGCACTCCAGCCTGGGCAACAGAGCAAGGCCATGTCTTAAAAAACTAAAAAAGACCAACCTCACAAAGTTCATGTACATGTTATTAATTTTACTACTCACATGGAATTGACTTTGTCTTCTGGCCCCTGCACTTGGCCTGTCACGGTGCCTTTGCTGGTATTCTTCACCCAGCCAACCACTCCTATTTTCCTAGCTTCATCTTCTGTATACTGGTTTCAGGAAAAAACAAGAAGAAGAAAGCACAGCATCAAAAGTCTGAATTCATAACATACTTGATTCTAATATCCAAAAAATGCTAACCTAATAATCATTTTTTGTAGTCTATGCCAACAATTGTATAGATGACCTACAGTAACACCTCTAATTATAAAAGAATCTTCACGTAAATGGTATCTTTTGTTAAATTCCACTTTCAGTAAAAACAATTCCACTTTGATAAAAACATTATGAAGAAACATGCTTAGAGTGAGAATTATTTCAGTAACAGTTTCTATGATGTGTTTTTGGATACATAAAATTTAGCTGCATTGCCCTTAAGACTGCTAACACTAAATCACATTGTTAACTTGGGTTCCAAATGATAATCGATCCAAGATTCTCAATCACTGAGAAAAAAATATACAATTATGATCAGCATAGAGTATTGATAAGCAGAAATAGACACTAAAACAGTTTGAAATTTCCAGTAAAAATGAGGAAAATCATTTTAATAAGAAAATTATAAAAAACCCCATTAAAAAAGTAGGCAAGGACACGAACAGACACTTCTCAAAAGTAGACATATGTGTGGCCAAGAAACATATGAAAAAAAGCTCAGTATCACCGATTATTAGAGAAATGCAAATCAAAACCACAATGAGATACCATCTCACACCAGTCAGAATGGCGATTATTAAAAAGCCAAAGAATAACAGATGCTGGCCAGGTTGCAGAGAAAAGGGAATGCTTACAAACTGTTGGTGGGAGTGCAAATTGGTCCAAACACTGTGGAAAGCAGTGTGGCAATTCCTCAAATAGCTAAAAACAGAACTACCATTCGACCCAGCAATCCCATTATTGGGTATACACCCAAAAGAATATAAATTGTTTCATCATAATGACACATGCACACATATGTTCACTGCAGCACTATTCACAATAGCCAAGACATGGAATCAACCTAAATGCCCATCAATGGTAGACTGAATAATGAAAATGTGGTACATATACACCATGGAATACTATGCAGCCATAAAAAAGAACGAGATCGTGTCCTTTGCAGGAACATGAATGGAGCAGGAGGCCATTATCCTTAGCAAACTAACACAGGAATAGAAAATCAAATACTGCATGTTCTCACATATAAGTGGGAGCTAAATTATGAGAACACGTGGACACAAAGAGGGGAACGACAGACACTGGGGCCTACCTGAAGATGGAGAGTGGGAGGAGGGAGAGGAGCAGAAAAAAAATAAGTATTGGGCACCAGGCTTAGTACCTGGGTCATGAAATACTCCGTATAATAAACCCCCATGACACAAGTTTACCTACATAACAAACCTATACATGTACCCCTGAACCTACAATAATTTTTTTTAAAGAAAGAAAATTAAACTAGCAAGAACACTAGCATAAACATGCTGGTTTGCAGAGTTATTATAAGACTAAAAGATTCTGATGTTTTCTGTTGGCTCTGGAGTTGGCACAGAAATGTTATAATTGTGTATGGGTAGATTTCTCTCTCCTATTATTATTAATAGTCTTTTAAAATTTCCTTTTTCTAGATCCAAATTCAGTTTTGCTCTGTAAGTAGCAACATTTTGATTTTGAATTATTTTAACTACATCATACTAAAATTCCTATTGATCCAGTCTACTAGAACTATTTTTTTCTTTTGAGATGGAATTTCACTCTTGTCGTCCAGGCTGGAGTGCAGTGGTGCCATTTCAGCTCACTGAAACCTTTGCCTCCCAAGTTCAAGCGATTCTCCTGCCTCAGCCTCCCAAGTAGCTGGGATTACAGGCATGTGCCACCACGCCCAGCTAATTTTTATATTTTTAGTAGAGACAGGGTTTCACCATGTTGGCCGGGCTGGTCTCCTGACCTCAGGTGATCCACCTGCCTCGGCCTCCCAAAGTGCTAGGATTACAGGCATGAGTCACTGCACCTGGCCTTAGAACTTTTCAAAAACATACTCTTCTCCTGTATGGAGGCCAGGGTGATCAAGATCTCTACACTCCACATCCCCAGCTGTATGAAACAGCATAAATCAAAATGCTAACAGCTAAGACTGATGTAAGAGGTGGCCCTGAAAATAAGTCACTTTCTTACTAGATAATAATGAAAAGGGAGACCATCTGAATTTTGGGGGATGGGGCTGCCTCATAATAGAGACTTTACCGACGGGAAAATATTGGAACCCTCAAGGGTTGGGAACTAGGGACCTAATCTAGTGACCCAGCTGAGATAGTAGGTGAAAATGCATGCCACAATTAACTTGTAGGAAAGAAGTACTTTTAAAAAGTTAAAATTTTAAAAGCAACATGGAGCCAGGCATGGTGGCTCGGCCTGTAATCCCAGCACTTTGGGAGGCCAACGAGGGTGAATCACTTGAGGTCAAGAGTTCAAGACCAGCCTAGGCAACATGGTGAAACCCTGTGTCTACAAAAATTTTAAAAAAAAAAAAATTAGCTGAGCTGGGCATGGTGGCTCATGCCTGTAATCCCAGCACTCTGGGAGGCTGAGGTGGCTGGATCACTTAAGGCCAGGAGTTCAAGACCGACCTGGCCAACATGGTGAAATGCCATCTCTACTAAAAATAAAAAAGTAGCTGGATGTGGTAGCAGGCGCCTGTAATCCCAGCTCCCAGCTCCTTGGGAGGCTGAGGCAGGAAATCACTTGAGCCTGGGAGGCGGAGGCTGCAGTGAGCTGAAATCGTACCACTGTACTCCAGACTGGGCAACAGAGCAAGACTCTGTCTCCGAACTAAATAAATAAATAAAAGATAAATAAATTTTAAAACGCAACATGGAGCTTAATCTGCTAAATCCTGGGAACCACTTCATTATACAACATCAGCATGTTTTGTTTTGCAGTGCGACATATGTACCTTGGCCTACAGGATTTCTTCCATCCAAAACATGTAGAAAATCCCATACTTTGTATTCAATACACCTAATCAAAGCATTTCATTAAAATCACCCAAAGAGAGGTACTTTTGAATGTAGAAAATGTTAAGTAAATACTAAGAAGGGTACAATGTTTTTAGCGTTAATAAAAATCTCAATCAGTAATTTCAAAGAAATACACATATTTCTTCATTTGCTGTCAAGGACAGGGAGTAAATAGTAGACTAGCGCCAAGTAGAAAACTGCCCTATCTCTGTAATTGGGAATAACAGTGGAAAAAATGGCAAAATAATAAAGACCATATTGACTTACCATTCTGAAGCAAACACCTGTATAAAAGAAAGATAAAAAGAATTGTCAGCTTGTCCGCCTTTAAAAAGTTGTGTATTTCCTGACTTAACTTTTATCTAGGTGGTCCCCATTTATCCTTGGTTTCACCTTCTGCAGTTTCACTTAACCCTCAATCAACTGCGGTCCTATAATATTACATTTAAAACTCCAGAAATAAACAATTCATAAGTTTTGAATTGAATGCCTTTCTAAGTAGCATAGTGAAATCTCACGCTGTCCCACCCATGAATTATCCCTTTGTCCAGCAGATCCACACTGTAGACACTCCCTGCCCGTTGGTCACTATGTAGCCCTCTTGGTTATCAGATCGACTGACTTGGTGGTACTGCAGTGCTCATGTTCAAGTAACCCTTATTTTACTTAACGATGACCCCCAGAACACAAGAGTAGTGATGCTGGCAAATGTGCCAAAGAGAAACCATCATGTGCTTCCTTTAGGTGAAAAGGTGAAAGTTCTCGACTTGACAAGGAAAGAAAAACATTGTATGCTGACACTGCTAAGATCTAAAGTAAAGCAATCTTCTGTCTGTGAAACTGAGAAGAAGGAAAAAGAAATTTGTGCTAGTTTTGCTGTTACACCTCAAACTGTAAAAGTTATGGCCACAGTGTATGATAAATGCTTAGAATATCTAGGGTTCTACACTATCTGCAGTTTCAGGCATCTACTGGGGTTCTTGGACTGCATCCCGATCCGAGAACAAGGGCAAACCCCTGTATTTATTATGTGGTAAGTAAATGAAATAAGCAAAATGTTTAATATCTGAATGTATTTAGAAAGTGTTTTTGAAAATTAGTTTCTTTTAAAATGAAATGAGAAAAGGAAGACTTTTTGGAGAAAAATAGTAATATTCTGAGTCCAAATAAATAAAATGCTGAAGCACATATTCACTCTATTTTTAAATGCTAAATAAAACAAAATACTTATTACAGGTACAGTTGAGTGTACTTGGCATAAAATTTAGCTGTCCTCAACTTTTAAGATATCTTCTTAAAATGCAAGGACTAAATACAAATTTAAATGTAATAAAACACTTGTGTATTTTATAGCTAGTTACAGAACCAATGAAACATATCATGAAATGATATGCTTGACCATAACTTGGCTTCTGAAGCCTCAGTTCTTTTATTTATTTATTTATTTATTTATTTATTTACTTATTTACTTATTTATTTTAGAGACAGGGTCTTGCTCTGCGCTAAGGCTGGAACACAGTGGTGCAATCATAGCTCACTGCCCCCTCGAATTCCTGGGCTCAAGGGATCCTCCTGCCTTGCCTCCTGAGTAGCTGGGACTCCAGGCATGAGCCACCGTCCCTGGCTCTGAAGCCTCAGTACTAATGGAAACTTACTGAAATGGAAATGATTCTTAGAATCTCTATAGTGTAGATTACATTATGTTCATACTTTGAACCGTGTAGGTTGAGAAGTATTGTTGGTCTTGGTTATGTTTTCCCTATCTAGACCATAATAAGCTGTTGTATATTGGCCAACTATGATGGTATCTTATACTTTGCTTACCCAGCCTGCAAAACTATGAGAGTCTCATCTCAGACAGAGATCAAGAATACTATGGGACTTCATACCTTGGGTTGTTTGGAACCAAACATTGATACATAGAGAACTGGGCCCTAGAGTGGGGGTGACACAAGAGGCAAGCTGGTTCCAAATTATCAGGGATATGTATTTATGATATGGGACCCCTTGAGGGAAAGGGAAGGCCTTCTTACATCTCTCCTGGGAATTGCAGCAATGACCCTAAATAACAGATCTCAAGTCAGTCCTTCAAATTGCAAGTTGGAAAACTCTTAATCCAAAAGGATGAATTAGAACAGGCTTCTTTGGGATAGATACGCCCCTACATCTCAGCTCCTATTTGAGAGTTGGCTAAAACAGGCCTAAGTAAAGAAACATCAGGAATGTATCAGGTGCAGAAATTCAGAGCTTGTTAGTACCTATTGCAACTTAGTTTCTATTTCTACCTAGAACACATGGTAAATTTGGAAATTTACTTTTCAGTACTCAAGAAGCCAAATGACAGAGAGAGAAAAAAAAAACCACTTAAGTTTAGAGGAGAGGACATAGCAATTAAAAAACACTGGGAATGGATAAAAAAAACTGTGGTAGATCCACACAATGGAATACCACACAACTGCAGCAATAAAAAGGAATGAACCATGGATACAAGCAAAAACATGTATGAATCACAAATCCATTATGCTAAGTAAGAGAGGCCAGACTCACACATACTGTGTAATTCTACTTTCTGGAAAGGGCAAAACTATAAGGACAGAAAACTGATTGTCAGTTGCTAAGGGCCAGGAGTAGAGGGGAGAGTGCTACAATGGGGGGTGAAGAGATTCAGGGTGATGGGACTGTTCTATATCTCAATTGTGGTGAGGATTACATGACTGTATGCATTTGTTAAAAATTCACTGGGCCAGGCGTGGTGGCTTACACCTGTAATCCCAGCACTTTGGGATTAGCTAGTAATCCCAAAGATTACTAGACATTAGCTAGTAGATATAAAAGGAATCAGCAGAAAATTCCACAGCCAAGGCAGGTGGATCACCGGAGGTCAGGAGTTCAAGACCAGCCTGACCAATATGGTGAAATCCCATCTCTACAAAAATACGAAAATTAGCTGGACATAATGGCCGGTGCCTGTAATCCTAGCTAGTTGGGAGGCTGAGACAGGAGAATCACTTGAACCCAGGAGGCAGAAGTTTCAGTGAGTCAAGATCATGCTATTGCACTCCAGCTTGGGCAACAGAGCGAGACTTTGTCTCAAAAAAAAAAAAAAAAAAAAAAAAAATTCATTCAATTGTACACTATAAAAGGTGAATGTTGCTGAATTTATATTCTATCTCAATTGAAAAATAATTATAAAAGAACACATTGGGAAGTCACAGGGGATGGATCAATCTCCAAAGAGTCCAAGAGGTGTTGATTCTACATACAGCAGTTGAGTCTGGTTAAGAGGATACAGAAGAAAAGATCGGTAGCTTAGATATTTTATGCAGTCTTGCAAGCAGATTGATAATTTCCTGATGGTAGTATTCTGTGGTACCCAACAAATATGAAGGAAAAAAAGCAGCAAAGCAATAAAGACAGGATAGTATCACAAATGGAATTTTTATAAGGCTATAAAATATTTCAAAACATAGATGTTCAATGTGGAGATAACATGAGTGGGAAGTATTGATCTGAAAGAGAATCAGAAAGGCAATCTGTTATATAGATGGAGAGAAAGACATTAGCTAGTAGATATAAAAGAAATTAGCAGAAAATTCCAGAAACTTCAGGTCAACCAGACCATGTAGAAGAGAGAGAGAAAACAGGAGAGAAGACAGGCTGCACTGTGCAGGCAAAAGTGTGCAGTCTTTTTATCATAAGAGTCAGGGGATCCCAGAACACAGTAAGACACTGACCAAGTAAGTAAACTGAAAGTTTTGGTCTAGGCTGTATTGTGTATATCCCCTCTGAGTTCCTCAACCACTAACAGGCCCAAATATGAGCGTTATGAAAAGAGAAAGCACGTGCAATGGCAGTAAGCAGAAATTAGAAACATGTGGTCCATCTCTTTCCTATTTAAAGAGTGGTCCATGAAACAGCAGCACCTGAGAGTTTTGTTTAGAAAATAAAATTCTTGGGCCCCTGCTCCAAGGAACAGAAATGCTTCAGGTGGAGCCCAGTAATCTGTTTTCACATGCTTTCCAGGCAATTCTTATGCCCACTAATGTTTAGAGCCAATGGCTGACTCCCCCTTAAAGAAAAGTCTGGGAGAGATTTGCAAAGGGTTTATATTTCAGGTCAAGAATTGCATCAAAAGGAGAAAATTAAAATCTCGTAGGGTACCAAAGATCTGATGCACGCTCCATCACACTGTTCAAGTTGCTGTTGATAATAACTCATGCATTTGCATGTCATTGTTACCTCGCCTTCTTTTCACAATTCAGAAGCATTACATGAAAGAAACCATGGATGATAAAAAGGCAACTCTCCCCTCCTGCACCCTAAAGGGACCTGACATTGGCACAGCCTAGGCAGCCTGTCACATAGATTTCCCCCTCCATCTGTACCACTTACTACTAGAAATACGGGAGCTGCCCAAAGAGGGAAACTGACAACATGCCCCTCAGTGAAGAGCAACGTCCTTTCAACATTTCCGAATCTCGAGCAGCCCTTCCACCATCTATTCATTGATGATGTCAAAGACCATTCGCCTATGGTGATGGGGTTTGAGAAAATTTTTAAAGTGGAATCAAACACAGATATTCCACTATGTGTTGCAGTGTTAAGGAAATGACCTGCTCCAATCTATTGATATAATATTTTATTCACACTAACATAATCTAAGAATTGGGTAACTCAGGTAAATCTAACAGGCACACAGGTAAACATTGATTATTCACTTAACAAGCACTTTTCAATTGTCTAATTTTAAGTGCAAAGAATGAGATGAGTAAGACACAGTCCTTGCATCTAAGAGTTTACAATCTAGTGGGAAAGATGGACAAGTAAACTGGCAATTAAATGTTGCAATTAAAATAACGGACAATTTGGAGCTGTAAAATCCATAAACCTCGACACAAATTAGAGTTCATGAGACAGCCACATGACAGACAATCACTCTTGGGTGATTTTAAGGCTGGCTTGTTGAAAAACAGTCTTAGAGCTGAGACTTCAATGATGAGCAAAAATTAGTATGATGAGAGTAGAACATTACAGATAGAAGAGCATGCTCAAAGGCCCAAGGTTTCAGATCAGGGCATATCTGGATACCACGCATAGTTAAATATTCAAACCCATGCACTGTACTCATTTTCTAAATTATTTCTAGGCCCCTGTCATTACTGAAGATTTACTGAAAAATAGTTTAATTCTGTTCCAACTTTATCTAGAAGAATGGGTGATAATGTTTATATACTTAAAGTTACCATAATCTTTCAACTCATCTACTACAAGAACCTCCTTAACT